AAAAATACAACAGAAAAATGTTTCACTCCAAATTCAACGGAAAACGTGCCGTTAGTGACTGAAAGAACACAACTACGCGTGCTTCAACAGCTCTACTTTTTATCCAGTTATCCCTTCTCTTTCTCTTTTCCCTACTCTTCCACACAGAACTACCACCACTACTTTCTTATAATTTTTCTATAGTTGTTCTTCTTTTAAATCTCAACATGTTTCAATCTTCAATTTCAAAACTTCTGTCTCGGCATTCTTTTTGCATCTTCCATTCGTTATTCAATTGCGAAAATTACAATTTGTGACAAACCACCAAAGCCCAAGAATCTTCTAATAGTAAATGTTATTCGTATGTTCCATTACAATTTTAACATTTTAACGGTGTTATAAATTTCATATGTACATGACATTGTTTAGTAGAATTCTTGAATTGAATCGTAAGATCATTAAACGTGTAACGTGTAACAACATCAAACGTGTGTAATTTCAAATACCGGATCAAGGAACGTGGCGAAAAACATCGATATTAACCTCTCTCGCGAGAGACACGTATTAATCGATGTCAAATCTCATTGTACAGAGGATACAGATGTTAATTGTCAATTTAAAGCGAGTTCAATAAGTTGTATCGTATAAGTTGCATCAGAAAATTGAAGCCACATGTGTCCGTTAAATTAGATAACAACTGCTGGACCGACTGACGTAATCATTGTACCCTGCGTGCTAAGCTCACTCAGTAGTTTGTCATCCACGATTCCGAATGAGCAGTGTCATCACGGCATTGATCGTGCAGAGAGGTTATTATCACGTGTTTTATTTCCCGTGTATTTGATATTTACATTAATGCGTATCATTTGTCGATATCAAATCGTGTTTCGTTTAAAATGTGATACGAGCACGAATCCGTTCATGTACCATTTCGCAATCGGCAAGACATTGAATTTAACAACGTAATATGTATTTAATCAAACACACCGTGGTTTTAACGAATACTCATAGAATAAAACAAATGATGACGTACCAAGTAGCGATAGTTGATTGCGGTTAAACTTTTGCGTAGCAAAAGGATTAAATTTGATGGTGTCACCATCTTTGATAGAAATATCTATTGATAAGTGCTCTGAAAGAAGAATCGTTGTTAAAAGACAATAGTAGAATTCAAACTGTGTCCTAGCAATCGTTTTCAAATCCTTGCAACTGTGTTATCGAATACTGGTTCATTCTGGTAAAATATAAATGTTGTGTCGTTCAAGATATTGATTTGAAAAATGTCTAATGTAATGAAAACGTGATAGATTTTACGTATTTATATACACATGTACAGTTACGCGAAAATTTAACTAATGTGACCACGTGATCATCACGTTCAGCGGTGGAAAATGTCAGGGACATTTTCAAATATATTTAAAATGAAAACCGACACTTTATCGCGCGTGAAATTAATTTATTGAAATGATATAATATAAATACATTATATAACGAAACAAATCTATTTTATTCTTTACATACATTTGCATGTATTTATTATATACGAAAATAATAAGAATATGAATGAAGTATGAATTTAATCAAACTTCAATTATGTAAATATATGTTATTAAAGATATTTATTGTGCAATTATAGAAATATAGACATAAAATATATAAACGGAAAAAATACGGAAATTAAATAAGTTCAGAATGTAAAATTTTATTGAGATGTAGGAATATGCAATAAATATTCATAGGGTATGAAATTAATGTTAATCTAGTATCATGTAATTTGCGATATATTTTTAAGAAAAAACAGAGGATATCGTACTATTGTAGAATATCGGCACACATCAAAATTTACAAATAAAAATATTCGTAAAAATATGTATATCTAAATGAATATAAAAAATATTATTTATAACTAACATTCTTATAAAAAACACGAGAAATATTCTATACGATATCATACATAGTAGTCGTAAGAACGCGGTTTTTGCGCAATATACAATTGAACAATTATTATTTAAAATATACATTACTTTTTCCGCTGTAATAAATAAAATTCTGTACATATTCAAAACGCAACTATAAATTCAGTTAATATTTTATCGCAGTTACTTAAATACTCGCTTAAGTACAATACACATTAGAGACCTACACGATCTCGTTATTTCGGATTTGCGACCGCATCATCTGTGTGTTTAAGACATCATTTCCCTTCAAAAGCGTATGCTAGTTCACAGAATTAATCAAGGTCCAAGAAAGACGATATGAAAAAAAAAAAAAAAAAA